TAAGGATACAAATCCTACACAGTCACACTCTCTCTGTTTTTACCCACAAGCACCTAATAGCTGTTTTGGCATTATTTTTTGACAATGGATTGTCCCCTTTCACACGCTAGCAGTGAGGACTCAGACTAACAGTCCTGCAAAATAGGCATAGCACAGGTTTAAATTCATGTAATGTAACCCATTCCCAGGCACTGTGACTGCAGAAACAAAAGAGGCTCTGCAGCTGTCAGGGAAGTAACCTAGTGAAGTTTGCAGGAATCTCTGTTAGCTTTAAAAGTCCTTTCTATCAGTCCTATGAGAAGTTCCTGTACCAGAAGTCTCTCTCTGTTCTCCCACTTGCAACACATTCTAGTCCAAAAGAGTACCAAAGCTGAGATCTTCAAAGGATACAAAGATATTTAGGAACATAATGTCCCTGAAGGTTGATGGCATTTTCCTAATCTTCTCAAGCTACTTCTAAAAAGGCCTGTTCAACAGCTCTGTGAGGGTTTTTTTTCCTTTATAATTGCCTTTGCTTTTGGTTCCCTCTTGGATTATAAATCAAAGGGAGCCAATTATCTATTCATATAGCAGTTTGCAGAAAACTTATTCAGCCTAAACTATATGCAAAATTTAGCCACAATTCATCATAGAATTTAAATACCATTATAAAAATTACAAGGAGCAATAGTCTATCACTAAAATTTAAAAGCATTGACTTTGAATATAGACAATCTTCCAGAATTAGTTAATACTATTACATTTTTCTTACACTTAGTCAGAAGTACCTGATCTCCTCTCTAGACACTTTTTCTCAGAAAGCAATTGACAATTTGTAATGCTTATTGCATTTAAAAAGTTAATTGCTGTCTAACTGAAGTAGCTTATTATACAAGTACTGGGACTATGTCTGTCTGCCAGTTGAATACACTAAAGTATTCCATTTAAGCAATTTAAATTAAAATATCATTCTATAAAGTTGTTTTGATTTTGATTACATATTGAGATTTTAAATAATTTTGACTTAATTTCAAGGGAGATGGATTCCTTTTGTATAATATCAAATTGTAATAATTTCTATGTGATTAACATTTAATTTATGTCTACATTCTTGGCATATTCTTTCCCTATAGCCATAGTTGTATTATATTTGTTAAAAAAGATGAGTTTTCTGTGCAATGTACTGTGGAGCTGAAGTAGCAAAAATCATGAAGAAAAAATTCTGTATCTGGAGTTCTGCAAGCAATCCCCCAACAGAATGCCACTATCACATGTCATCATACAGCCCAAAAGACAGCTCCATAAGAAGACTTCATAATAGAGAGAACTAAAACTATCATGGTGGGTTCTATAGTGTGATGTAGTCACTTGCTAACGAAATAAGATGACGCAAAGCTCTAAATTAGCCTTTAGCCCAAACTTTTCATGTTTGGGAGACAGTAATACAGTAGCATTGTACTCTCTGCAGCACAGATGGATGGCCTCTCTGTCCTTCAATGTCTGCTTCAGGACTCACACAACAATTTGAGAAATTAGGAGATGCTATGCACTCCACTCAAATGTGTTTATTCACAAGTGGAAGTGGGCATTTCTCTTCCATTTTGGTGACTGGTATAATTTTTTTGGAGGGTAGGGTGTTCAAAATAGTTGAATTGTCAGAAAAGTGAATACTCTACACTGAATTTGGTGAATGACTCTAGCCAAATTTGATGAGGCAGAAAAAATAAATGTCAGGAGCAGAAAGACAAAGCAGGATATTTTTTTAAAGTAAGCTTTCTAATTTTTCAGCTAAGTTCACGGGGGCACAGATTTTCTAGTCCTTAAGAAGCAGATGAATTGCCTGGAATAGTCCAGTTCAAACAACTTGGATTGCTTCAGGAAGGATGTGAGAAAATGTATGTCTCTGAATACACATTTAAAGTTAAATGACTATTCTAATTTCCATGAGCAAACTGATGAAGAACAAGTATGGACCAAGAATTTAGGTTTTGATTTACACTAAATTTCACCCAGACAAATACTTCATAATTTGCACCATAACAGTTTTGGTCAGTACCACTTTAAACTGAAGTATCCTAGGTAACTGCACAACTCCCCCATATCTTTTCTGAAGGAAATGCCATTAGCAGCAATCTGATAGAGCTCATGAGAAACAAGAATCAAGCAGGAATTTACATCCTGTCTTTGTCTCAGGACTTGATCTTGAGTTTAAATATTTGTTTTCCTTGCTAAGGTGTATAAAGGAATCCATGGATGGTTTGTCAATGTGTATTTTTTCTTGCTATTGTCAGCTCTTTGTTTTGGAAAGCTGATGTGAAGTATTCCTACTACTAGCTTTTTTGAGTGTTCAGTTAATATGCTGTAAACCAAAATACACATACATAATAAAAAAAAATCTATAAGGTAACAGCACCAGTACAGCATCTGAAGTCATTTAGAAAATGACAGTCTTTGTAATGATATGGGAAAAGCAAAACAACACAATCCAAAGGACAGTTTTTAAAAGCTCTGCAAGGGGAGGTTAAGGTTGAATATTATGAAGAAATTCTTTACAGAGAGGATAATCAGGTATTGGAATGGGTTGCCCAGGGAAGTGGTGGATTCTCCATCCCTGGAGGTTTTAAGATGAGACTGGATGTGGCACTTAGTGCCATGGTCTAGTAACCATGGTGGTAGTGGATCAAGGGTTGAACTTGATGATCTCAGAGGTCCTTTCCAACCCGGTTGATTTTAAACTGAAAAGGATTGAAACTGCAAACTTGCATCTGAACCTCTTTGAATTCTTACAGAGAATGAAGTCCTGATTTCCTTCCTTGGATAAATATTTTCTCTGCCAGTTTTTTTGTCGATCTGCCTCTGCTAAATCTCCTAGAACTTCATCAGATCTGCATTTACATCCTACTCCCTTCTATGTTATATGCTCAGCTTCTTCAGATGTTTCTTTTTCAAAATATATGAAAAGAATTTACTTTAGAAGATTGTGTAATTTCTGTCAACGAAAAAGGACAGAACAACTGCCTGACTCCATTACAACAACAGGTCTACTTCCCTTATTCCAGGCTGCAGAACCTCAGATTAAAAAAGAGCAGGAAAGTAGAAGAAATCTCTTTTACGTTTAACAGGTATCTTTAAACACAAATTCTATCTCACCAGCCTCAAACTTTTATTTTTAGCTAAAAAGGAAAATCTAAAGGATTAGATTTTTCAGTCTTCTCTACCCTCAAACAAATTTTACTTTAAATAGCCTGTCTAGCAACCCTAACCACCAATGTTCAGCAAATTTTTTATTGACTTTGCTATTTTATTTCCAATTGCTTAAATGGCTGTGCATTGAAAACAGAAAGTTACTTGAACTTATTTCAGTGAACAAGTCTCACCTGAGATTTTTTAATCTGTCCAAATGTAGACACTTAATCAGCATGGGCTGAGAGAAGAAAAATTAAGCTAATGACCTTCACACTGAAAAAAACCAAACCAAACCAACAACAATAACAACAACTACTACAAAAAGGCAGAAAAGAATTGATTGCAAAAGGCCAGATCCTGAAGGACTTTAAGCATCCATAGGGCTGCTAAATTGGCTGAAGATGCTGGCACTTGGTGGTCCTGAGAATTAACATCTAACAAAAAATCTAACTGCATTTAACCACATGAAATACTGTTATATTCTATGCTTCTGTGCCCCACAGATTTGCTGTGTCTTTTACAGTGAGGATTTTATTCCAAGTCTGGGTCTTCTGGGTGACTCCATATTCAAAATGACAGAAGAACCTACAAAGCATGTGGGTTTTTGTATAGCATCTAGCATTTGTTCTATCTACAGAAATCACATGCCTGAAATGTCTTAATCAATAAAAAATGGAAAAAATATTTTAACTGAATTAAATATCCTTTTTCCTTCCCTTCTTTTACATTAACAGACAAATTGTTGTAGAGCTCCTTACAAGGCTGTGACACTTTAACTTTGCAACTTGCAATGCTATTATGCGTAGCGAGGTTTAGTGTTTCATGTGACATGCTTTTGCCTTGATTTCCAAGTCCTTGATAAGGCTGTTTGAATTGCTAACAGATAGGACACCGGAAGGAGATCACTCTTATCGTTCACTTCATGGACCACCTAAAGGTTTCTGCGGAACTTGCAGTTAGGTGAATTCTCATAAAAGAGCTGAAAGTCCAGACTGAATCACAGAATCACAGGTATCTGAGTCAGTACAGCAAGAAATTAAGCAGAAAAAGTTCCACATATTCTTCTGTTAAAGAGGCAACAGAAAAATCCTACAGCACCACTCCTTTTTGTACTACATTGCCAGTCACTCTTGAACAATGATGCTCAGATCATAGTTGTGTATTAATTTTATCACTTTCCACTTTCATCTTGGCCATTTATTTTCTTACTTATAAAGGCAGTGGGTTATCCTCTATTTTGTACAGACCCAGAGATTAAAGACTTATGTAAAAGATTTGGGTCAATTAATATTTTCCTTTTTTTGCCTTTTCTTGACATGCTACGAGGAGAGTTGCCTGAAGAACTTACCCCAATTTATCCCAACCCCAAAAGCTTTTGAAGCTAATATATACTTTTTCCCTCTAGTTACGCATTCTAAGTTTTCCAGAAATCCCTTTAATATAAATAACACTGCATTATCTTGGCAAGGAAGCAAGGACAAAAAGACTTAGAGGCAAATTATTTAGATAAGAGCTAAAAATCCATAAAAGACTAGAAAGTCATCTTGCTCTTGTGTTCTGTTTTCCTCCTTAAAACATTGCTATTCCAGAGCAGTGCGAAAGAGGACCTTTGGGAAATGAAACCCTTCCTACAAGCACAGAAGAGGATCAGAATGGGTTACCAGTGTCCCTAACAGGTATCTTGGTCCTGCCCGCTCATCCCTGTGTGACAAGTTCCGTCTCCTGTGACTTCCCTAACCCACTGCCAGCTAGGTTAGCCAAAGTAGCAAGAATTAACAAAACACACCCATCTGTCCCTTAGAAATGAGGATGAAATGCAAATATGCCTGTTTCAGGTAGGTCAAAAAGAAACTATCAAATTATTTTCACCTTCAGCCCCTGCAAATTGGGATCAAGAAAGGTGGAACATCTCCTGTTGACAAGCTCCCTCGCACAACCAGTGCTGCAAAAAGCTGTCAATAAGGTGAGATCTAGTAAGCAGACTGTAATTAACTTCATTATGTGAAAGGACTGAGGAATGGAGGATGAGGAGAAGAAATGAAGTAAGAAATGTGTTCCCCAGGTAAAGTTGCCCAATGATAGCATGCTGGGATGTACACAGCCTCTGGAAGCAGGGGGCTCAGAGAGCCTGCCCTGTGGCTGGCTTACTGCCCAGGCAGCCTGTGAGACACTCTGTCTGTCTCCTTAAGGTAACCTGCAGGATATGCCACAGATGGTGAACTTGTAATTAGAGTAAGGGCTAATGACCATGGTGGTGACCCCAAGCTGGCAGACATGTGACCAGGCTGGGCAGAGGGCCTGTTCCTCCAACAGGGATCAAGGTCAACCTCCAAAGCAGTAAGGAAAAACACAGGTGCAAGAAAAAACTTCATGTCCCTAGGTGAGGTGGCCACCCATGTTAGCGCTGCCCTCCCCTCCTCCAGCTGTGCCACCTGCACCATCACTGCTCAGCTTTGCCTCTGATTCCCCAAGGCACGGAGAAAAAAATATATCAAGTTTCCCAATTATCAAAACACTATTGTAACAATGAGCTGTTGCTGCACCTGCTTCCTTAGTGCTGAGTGAATGCCACAGCTCACCTCCCGCCACAAAGGGGAGCCTGGCCAGTGATGATTAACTCCAGCAGAACACAATAGTCAACATCTGAACCGCCTGTGTGCCAAGGAGCATGTTTTCCTTGTTTATCTTGCACAGCAAGTTTTTAGCATCACTTTTTTACAAAGGCCATGCCTACTCTAGATTCCCAGACGGTGAGTCAGCTGTGGTCCCGGGTGAACCTGGACCCACGTGGTGGAGAGTGGGGAAACTTCACCCCATGGAAGGGTAAGGCGTGCTTGCCACCAGAGCACATTCAGATTTTAAAAAACAAACCTGTTTCTTACCACCACACTTTAGCCTCGATCAGTATGTAAACAACTCATGGAGGACTGGATCTCAGCACTAGCTGTGCTTCTCTTGCTCCCTGCCTATCTTTTCAGCCTGAGGGTTGCAGAAGCAAAGTGTCTGCTTTTCACCAATGCTCAGCAATTTATCTTTGTTGTATAGAAGCATTATTACTTTTTTTTTTTAATCAAGTTTGAGTAATCTATGTACATTACAGGTCTGTCATCTTTTAATTCCTAAGCCAACCAAGCTCTCAGTCTGACATGCAGGGTGTGAATGTGCTGTCTCCAGCAAAACCCAACAAGAAGAACAGGCCTCTGAGGTCATGAGCAGTCAGTTAGAAATTAGAGCAGCCCTGAGGCAAAGGAAATTCAGAGGTAGTAGAAGGTTTCAGTAAAGCAAGAAAAAAGTCCAACATTTAGAGGTTGTACTACAAGGACGTTTGCATCCCACAGCATTTGCCATCCTAATAAGTGGCTTGTTAGAAGTCAAAAATATGCGGGTAATGATATTTTGCACCACCTTCCCACTTTTGTAGCATACTACAATGAAATCTGCAATTCCCTTTTGTTAGAACAATACAGATAATATTCTGTAAGTATATCACATTGTGCTATGAAATGGGGAAGAATTGTCATGAAAATGGAACTTATTATCACTGCTAAAATGGCCCCAAAGTGCACCAAACCTTTGTAAGATGCAAGGTAGATTAGAAAGTGAGAGTGTTTGTTCTTCTGCTTATGCTGCCCTATGCTGATAGGGCTTTTGCTCTATCCTTTATTCTGGGTGTTTTTATCTTCATAACACTGCTGTGTTATGAATATAATGGTATGCAATACCAAGCGAGGCCAACCCCAGGTATCAGTGCCATCTCAGTGTCTGTGATGTTGCTGTAGCGCCACCCCATGAAGTCCAGCCCAGGTCTGCTCAGGCTACTTGGCCTCAATATCCTTCTACTTTTGTTATCTGACACTTTGTTTATTTTTTCGGAGCTTGCCCTGTGTTATGAGTTGGGTTGAGGGAAGTGATGGTGTGGTGGGAATACGTCCTATCATGGAGATATGAAGAGTGCCTGGAAGAAGAGTAATGAAAAGGAACCAACCTCCTCAGGGCATCCATGCACTGCACACTCCCACCATTCATGTTGTCTGACCTACCTTCTCTTAACATCTTCTCCCCCCAACCAGGACAATTTGCTTCATGGGTCTGGCTCCAGTTTAAATTTCATGAAAGTCAAAGTGGCAGAAGTAGAAATGTTCCTCCTTTATTATGGACCCTGAAATATGCACAATTTAGTGGAGAGCTGTGGAGACCAAGGTAGTATACCATTTAAAAATTTGTTTGTTGATTTACTCTCCTTGTAATTACACATAGATTTCATTATTCCTATTTATTAAAGAACTAAATATAATTAAAGTTTTGTCTTTGAGCTGAGTGAGATTTTGTTTGGTTACTTTCCACGATCTCCTCTCACAGTCAGGGTTAGTCTGGACCTTGGTGAAAGGTGTGAGCTGCAGATAGGTATGCCAGAGATTTTCCACACAATGCCCACAAAGTTTCTGAGACTGATTATGTCGTAGCTTATTTTCAGCTAATGTCAAAACTGAAAAAGTCAAGCCATCAGTCCACATACTGAGCCCTTCTTTGCAAAACAGAGGACCTTTATGAAGAAGCCAGCATTCGCAGTACAGTATTATAAGTGTCCAGCAACTTGTGTAATGGGCATACAGATCATTCTGAGGTTTCCCCCACAGAAAATCATGCTGGAAATCATGATTTCCATCTCCAAGACTCATTCGTCCCAGAAGTTTTTAATTTTATAAATTAACATATCATTTAATTTGAAGTCAAGGTATGGATCCTAGCTTGTTGAGTGGCTGTTTTTAGAAAGCATTGGTAACATATGTGGGATAGTGGAGTTTTGTTTTGGTTAGAGGTTTTATGGAGGTTTTTTTTTTTCTTAACAAGTACAGAACACAGGCTGGATGGATTAGAGCACCTCAGACATGTCATTGTTTATATTGTCATGGACTGTCACAATGATTGGTGTTGAGAAAGGATGCGATGAAATGTTTATGTGGAAAACTAATAGTTTGCCTGATATGTGCTACAATGTTTTTGTGGGGGGGAAGAGGGTGGGTTATTTTGCTTTTAACTGTCTAGCTCTTACAATTGGTCTGATTCTGCTCCTGCTGAAAACTTTGGGCATTTTACCATGCTGGTGAGCAGGCCTGGAGCCAATACGTCTACAAATGAAATAACAGAAGCCCCAAGTCTACAATGAGCTCTGCGCTGAAGGAATTCCATCTCCATATATGAGATCTTGCTCAGCCACAAAACACGTCAGCACGAAGCCAGATTTTGTGCAGAGCAGCTATATAAGAACAACACTTTAATTTCGAGGTACTGCTTTAATACTACAATGTCAGCTGCTGTTTTCCAGTCTGGGAAGCACATCTGAATTCTTGGTACTGTTTGCCTTGCTAAACAGTGGCATTAAGCTCTAGCTTCGCCTCCTTTCCTTGGAGAAAACAAGTTTCTACTTGGAGAAACCAGTTTCTATTCTCCACTGTGGATGCAAGGGTTAAGGGTAAGCAGACTTCTGGGCCTACACTAAACTTGAAGAAAATATAAAGGAGACATATTTTTATTTATAATAAAAAGTGTAAATGTCTTTTTTTCCCTCATGCCAATCTGATCCAAAATTGGATGCGCTCCACTATAAAAAAAGCAAGAGAGTGTTCTAAAAATATATAGGGTAATGACATTCATCCCAGACAGAGATCTGTCATCCCAGATCTGGTACCGCACAAAAAACCCCAACAGTTTTCCCAGTGTTGGTCCTTCAACCATCTCACCTGACTAACCATACCAGCAAATCCACTAATCAGAGGATGTGGGAGCAGCACCTCAGGAGGGTGAATTTCCTTTACAGCATTTGGCTGGAGGATAGATGCTTGCTCTAAAGACTCTTTTTCACAAAAGGCTGTTAAGGCAATCCCTGGGGTGTGAGAAAACAGGAGGTGAAACTCAGCACAAAGGAACAATAACAACTCCACACAGCTTCTGCCTTCTCTAACAGAGGAAAAAAAAGTTCTTGACTTTCACATAACTTCCACCTCCTGGCTTTCTGTCAGCCATTCCCCAGGCAGTGGAGAAGGCTGAATTTAAAATGGAGATTAAGATATGCCCTGGAGCATATTTAACCCTCGTTACTTGTTCTTGTGATGATCTGTACTTTGTAACATGTAAGAGGTAGTGGGCATCCTATTGGCCTCTCTCTTCCCCCATCTCATCCTATGCTTCAGATAGGTACCATTTTATACCTAAAAAAGAAATAGAGGTTGAAATTATGCCTTCATCAAGCACAGAGAAGTCAGACAAGCTTGGGAGTTAATGTCCAGGATTACTGGAAACATTACCTAAACCAATGATTTTCTAAAACCCACTTGTCAAAGGATAGATCCCTGCAACTGAGACATTGTCAAAGATTAGACTCCAACACTGATGCATCCTGCTGTAAGGAAGCAGTGGGACAACAATCAGGAGAGTGAGCTGGCAGTAAGGAGATGTCATGTCACAGCCATTTTCTTCCAAGTTGGTTTGTCCAGCCAGACTGAAGCCTTAGTCAAAACAGCCTTCTTTGGCAAAACAGTAGAAGAGTCAACTTGGTATACATTTCAAATGATACAGTATTTCTTCATAGCAGCTTCCTAATTAAATGAAAGTTATCATTTTTGATAGGTATGCTTTTCCTGTCTTTCTATGTTGTCTTGGCATAGAGTAGTTCTCTAGGTCCACTAAGTTTTGATGTGTGTACATTGGTATAATTTTTCATTTCTGGGGTTTAGATTTCTGCATGTATGTGTGTAGAAATTAAGTTTAAGAGACTAGACTGAAATTCAGCATTCAAGAAACAGGAAAAATATTGTTCCAACTGCAGTTTGTCCTCTGCCCCACCTCTTCAATGGCACCATTCCGGCTGAAAAATTTAGCTTGGTGTGAATTATTTACTCCTTGCTGTATCTTTACTTCCAGGGAGATGAACCTGTTGCAGACCTCAGCTGCACCTATCCCCAAAATAAAATTAATTTATTTACTAATAAATTTTGCACCTTTTACAATATCTTTTGCATGTTTAGTCTTAGCTTAGCTGATAAAAGGGATTTGTAAGGATGGCACATGGGGGAAACAGAGCTGTGCACCCAGATTTTCCTTTATGTACCACTTTGAGGATGTGAGTACCACTTGCAAGCATAGTGGCAAATATAGAAGGCTACCTGAACAGTGGGCAATTATGTTAGCAACAAGGGATATGCTACAGATAAGGCAGAGTTTTGTAGTTAACTTTTTAAGGCATAATGTGAAAACAATAAAGAATTTTTAGATATGGCATTTTATTTAGTTATCATGTTAATAATTGAATTCTGATTAACGATTGTAATTAATCATTATCTATGGATACTTAGGAAACTGTCAATAGCCATAGTGGGTTCAATCAGAGAGTCATGTAGTTCAGTACCCTGTCTCCAACAGTGGGCATGAAGAGGTATGCAGGACACATAAGAGAGTGAGCACATATGATGCAGTGGCTAAAATCAAATAGCAGAAGCTCCCAAAGGAGGAATAATGTTATGTGTCTCCAAGCACAGGTCTCTGTGCTCACTGAATTTACTTTGGAAATTACAAAGGAAAACTTTGGCTTTGGAGATGGCTCTAATATTGGAGAGATTTGCACAACATTTAGGAAAATTGTGAGGAGCTGTAAATTATTCTGTAATGTGTTCATGAGTTCATGGTTAATAGTGTTCCTTGATTTGACTATCTAAGACTCAAAAACCAGAGGCAATTGTGGTCTTTCTTGATGATGTTGGGGTAACAAAACATAGATTAAATTTCCAGAGTTGTCCTGAACAGAAAGTATTTAGGAGGCCATTGGAACACCTGGTGCTCAGAATTTTTTGTAAGAGTGCATTTATATGGGAGTTCTGTTTCCTTTTTAGCAAGTAAAACAGTCTGCAAAGATGGGAACTGAATATCCAGATCATTCAGAATAACCCCTAACTTGCCTATTATGTTACAGATTTCTCCCACATTTATGATTCAATTTAAGAGGTAATTTCAATGAAATTGAATGTTGTGACTGTACAATAGACAGCTGCTAAAAGATAAATGCTGAAGAGAAAAGATATATTTTCAGAGGAAAAAAATAGGTTTTTTTAATGATGAAAGTTTAGTTCCCTTACATGTATTATTATTATACCCTCTGAGATAATATTATTTGTGCAATGTGATAAATTATTTTCTGTTGTCCATAGGAAGTGAAAAGAACATACTTGCTTTTATAATTCATTGTTTTTGATTAAAAACCTGCATTCTCGTAGCCAAAAGATGGAGCAAGCCACTGAAGACTTAGTCTGCATTTCAGCTCTCCAGAGATTATTAATCAACTTGCTCCTTCTCCTTTTATAATTAATTAAGCAACAGTCATATAGACCAACATCTCAACTACCTGAGCCAGAGGATCAGAAATGTTCAGTTCAGGATTGTGACAAGACTTTCGATGGCTAACACTGAGTTTATATGGCACACTTGCTGCAAAGATTGCATTAAAGGAAAAGTAAAACACCAAGCACTGGGATATCAAATTTCCAATATTTAAAACAATGAAAAATTAAATAGGTCTGGAAAATTTAATTCAGACCCTTTGTTCACAGGTTTTACACCATAAGTCTGTGTTTTGTTTTGTATAACAACTTGACTTCACATCGTCCTTTGCCATCTTTTCTCCTTCCCCTCTCTCCCCCTCTTTTATTTCTCTTTCTTTTTGTTTTTTCCCCTAGTCTAATTTATCATTCCATCTTTGCTTCCTTTCTTTCTTCCTCATTCTTTAGTGTTTGCTGCAGCAGGCACAAGGAGTCTCTGGGGTCTCAGTTCTCATGTCTAAGCACTATGACAGCCAAACAGTGAAATGGCAGATCCACATTAGCTTCTACTTCCCTCTTTCGTATGTACTCAGTCAGTTTGTTGCTATATTAAAAAAGAAAAAAAAAATCCAACCATCAGTTAGGGATTTTAAGAGAATGTAAGATGTTTAGTGGTTTATGTGGGTAAATCTGACAGTGAGATTCAATCAAGCCTTGGAGAAATGATGATTTATTATTTTTATCTAGGGCAAGGCAAAGGCAAATAGAATCATAGTCACTTTATATGGATAGAGGAATCTGTATTTACAGATGCATACGTATGTGTAAACATGCTAGTTAATAGCACACACTATTTCAGAGCTGATCTGCAGGACAGGCTTCCAGAGTAACTGCTTTCTTAGATGCATTCACAATGGATATTTTGTCATCGTCCTCACAGGCTTGTGGTGTGACAGGTCATTAGTGGATATTATCTATTGTGAAAGCAATCTTGAAAGCATTGTGAACTTTGAGCTGCCTAAGCTCACCAGGAGCTGATCATACAGTTGAAGAACAACTTGAATTAATACTTAGCAGGCCACATGCAAATGGGACACAATGATGGCAGGGGAGACGGCTATTCTCATGCTACTGAAGTTTACTTTGAGGGACTGGTAGACAGCATGTATCACAGAATCACATAATCACTGAATGATTGAACCTCTGGAGATCATCTAGTTCAAACCACTGCTAAAGCAGCTTCACCTAGAGCAGGTTGCACAGGTCATGTACCAGGGCCCCACAACGAAAGGCAAAGACGGAATGATATCCTCCATGACTGCACTAAAGGAAGAGTTCCCTTCAGTAATACTTGTCTCAAGAACAGATCCAATGCAGTTGGGCATTCGGACAGCTGCAATGGGTATGGGGCTGTCACAAACAGTACACAGCCATGATAAAGCAGCTGTGTCCCACCTCTCATAGAAATGAACTTTCCAGTGCAGAAATTGCTATGTCCATTAGCTGTACAATGTAACAAAGGTGGTGTGCCTCTTTGAGGTAGTACTTGCTTCTTAAGAAATAGCATAAAACTACATCTGTAAATTAGCAGTTCTCTAGTAGCCATCCTTCAGCTGCTTTACCATTAGGCAAAGTCAAGACTGTCATGAACTAACAAAAATGGGCTTCGCAGCCATGTCAGAAGATTTCTGACCCACTGTCAAGTGGCACTCAAGGTGGCATGGTCTGGAAGATGACATGGTCCTCCAAAGTCAGACAGGAAAGAACGTATTTTTTACGACACGTTATCAGCCGGACTTATCTCTTTGTGAAGACACTGGCAAAGATTCACACTGGTGTCAATTACAGATTGACCTGTGCATTGCCTTCCACAAAAGGAACATGAGCACAATTTCACTACCTAAGTCAGCAGTGGTGACTAAAAAAGGATACATATGTTCCCTCTAATGTGATAATATCAATATCCAATATCCATATGCAAATATACCTCTCTGGGTCATTCTTGTTAGCAAAAGCTTTTTATTCTTTCTGTTGTTAGTTGGGTTTTTTTAAGCTTTCTTTCACAACCTTACTGGTAACATCTTGGTTTAGAGGTGTCAGAGCAATATGAATTCAATATTTTTTTATGTGGTGGTTCTTGAGGTCAGCACATTGCAGGCATTAAAGGAATGCTCGGATTGCTACACAGCCCTTATTAGGGTGATCACTGAAGGTCTAAAGGGTAAGAGACATTCTGAAGCCATCCAGTCTTACATACATAGATGCACCAAGATGTTCTAGAGACGCCCTAGGAATCCGAAGCATCAACAAGAGGAATCACACCAAATTTGGGACTCTGTGAGTGGGACAGAACTTGAAAGGGCCCTAAGAGCAAGAAGAAGCTTGGGGCACAAAAGTGTAACAGGCAGAGCTGAGCACAGCTATCCATTATGCCTCCACTCCCAAGGTACAGATGCACATTTTTCAAGTATATTGAGGATTAGTTATTGTAATAGCTGTGCATGGAGTTATATTGACAGAAAGTAATGAAAATATTGCCTAAATTGGACACTTCACAGAATCACATAATATTCTGAGTTGGAAGGGACCCACAAGGGTCATCAAAGTCCAACTTCTGGCCCTGCACAGGACAGAATCACATCATGTGCCTAAGAGTGTTGTCCAAATGCTTCTTCCAATCTTCACAAAGCTAGCTACTAAAATATTTACAGGCATGCCATAAGATGGAATAATTAACTGTAACATTAATGGATTTCATGGTAGGTGGTATGAGTATCCTGTAAGTGTATGAGTAGCCTGTAACAGCAACCTTTTGCTTTCACATTCCTCAGACAATGTGAGATTTTTTTCTTGGTATGGTCTTGCCTTCACATTAAACACCATCATACCTCAAAGACCATATAGATGTTTGGTTGCCTTCTCAGCCAACCAGTTAAGGAGAAGCACTATGTGCCTATATACTCACTGACAAGCAAAAAGAAAGACTGTAGTCATTTACATCCTTTTATTTGTTTTAGGTTAACTTGGCCTCATTGACCTCATTAGGTTAACTTGGCACCTCTTTGTACTTGGGGAATATTTCAATTAAAAAACAGACTGCAGAACAAATTGTTTGCTACCAAAGTACAATGCAGATTTTTCTGAGCATTATTATTATTATTAATAATATGCAGTACTATGAATGTTGTACCACAGCTTAGTAAAGTACACTTGAGTGCTTCTCAGTATTAGCAGGGCTTATGGACAGACTGATAAATGTCCAGTGAAAAATCTTAAAACACAAAAACAAGTAAATCAGTGGAAAGGTATATACAGCTTGTTGTTTTCATCAATTTTGCATAAATCAGCTATAATACAAATATATCATTTGTGGCTGCATCCAGGGTGTCTCATATGCTTGTGCGCAGGACACAAAAGGTAAATCCAGAATTATATAATCCACCATACTTTCCCCCATGATTCAGGATTATACGGGATTTGTTTTCTCAACTTGTTTACATTTTTTTACAATCTTTAATACCCATATAATTTCATATGGATATAAGATGCTTAAACATCGATGAAAATATTCTGAATCTTATGAAAAGAAAAATAATGTGCAATTTACTAAAGAACACCAAAGGGAAGTGGCACTCTTAGTCAGAATTTGAAAACTATTAATAAAAAAATGTCTTTGGAGATTGCAAGCACCCTTGGCAGTAAAAGGGCTTAATGTTTTTGTTTCTTCTTCACTACAATGAAAGCAAATGATTTCTATGGGGAATATTCTCAATTCAGTGCTGCATATTCCATTACCTAAACCAATAGTGGTTTTTAATGCAATAAGTTCAAGATATTCATAAGAATTAATTTTTTTCATAAAGTTTTCTGCAAAGAAACAAACCAATGAGAAATGAATAATTCATATGTTTCACAGGGACACATTTCATTTACTTGTAAAAATAAAAAAAATGTATGTTGTAAAGTAGTCTGTGTAATATTGGATCAAATTCAGTGTTATTAAAAGTTGGTGTGAACTAAGGTTCAGGAAAGAAAACTACTAAAACCATACAGAAAAAAAAACATTGAGGTCTGCTATAGAAAAAATAGAAGACTGGAGAATATGATTTAGAAAATTTTGTATGAAATATTTTCTGTCAATGAGAAGAGTGAGTTCTCTTTTAGAAATGTGCAAACTGATATTACTCCTTATCCACTTCAATTCATCAAAATAGTTCTACAATTACAAAAATTTTTAAAGGGGTATTATATTTTAAAACATACACAATTTGATTTTTTCAGTTCTTTTCTATTGTAGGTTTAGATTCAGAATTTACAATTGTTTCTTAATATTGTATTGGGTTAACTGCTCAGTGAATAATAGGATAAATGAAGCTGGAAGGGAACTCTCAATATCAGCTAGTCCATCCCCCTGCTCCAAGCAGGGCTGTCTTCAAAGTTAGAGTAGGTTGCTCAGGGCTTTGCTCAGCTGAGTTCTGAAATTCTCCAAGGATGGAGATTCCACAACCTCTATGGCAAAACCACAACCTAGTGATATAATAGTATTATTCCTAGACTTGCCTTTTATTTTTTTAATATGTGGGGTTTGTATCTGAATTTCAACTTTAAATCTTGTTTACATGACACCTAAAGCAGTACAAGTCCTGAATTTCTTGCTGCTAGGTCAGTATGTTGAATGCATTTCTGTTACTTTCAGTATTTTAATGATATGTATGAGAAAGACACATCAATAGATAAAAAATATAATCCTTTTAGGATGTCTTCAGTGTGTACAGCAATCTAATGCTGAATTCATTGTGGTAGTGCTGAATAAGTTTATTGTGCTTGAAAGTGTTTAAAATTAATGTAATAACTATACCAAGTATTACTCCTATGGAATAAGTACATTAGTTTAAGTCCTTTCCATCTTCTTAAAGTAGTAATTAAAGTTTAATGTCAATAGATAATTCACTAAAAAATACTCATTTTCATTCTTTTTCTTTTTTTTTCTCCTAAAAGAAAGTAAAAAATTGTCTTTTTCTCTCAGAAGGATCCATAAACACTACAAGTCTGGCACATTACGAGTCCCTTGGCTGGCTAAACTCAAATTAACTAAACTTATATCACTAATTTGTAAGTTCTGAAGAGGAATCCAGGTCACTCCTTGAGAAACAATATTTTTGACATTTGAAAGAATATCTGCATCTTTGAAAGATGGTATGCATTATTGTAGACACAGATTGGGAAGACCTGCTTTGGAAGTGATGAGAATAGTCAAACCAAACTGTGATAAGTTCTGTAGGCACTGATAAGAAGCTAAAGCCAATGGAGTGGTGCCGTAAATTTTTATTTTATTCGAGGTGGAGGAGGCATTGCACTATCTAGTGATCTTTCTGCTGAAAATATCAAGCACAGAGAAAGGGATGAGTTTGGTTTTTAGTATCCACCCCAAATTCAATCAGCAAGATTAAAATCCACTACGATGTGCATGCAAAGCATGTATCTCCTACAAACAGAAAATGTATTCTGAGTGCTCTTTCATCTGCCACAGCAGACCAGAGTTACACTGCTCACCATTCAAGAAAGAATTTAAGTTGATGGTGGTGGGTTTGGTTTTTCTGCTGTTTGTTTGTTTGTGTTAGTTTTGTTTGTTTTGTTTTGGGGGTTTTTTGTTGTTGTTGTTTTGTTTTGTTTTAATTATTTTTGTTCTATTTTTATTTTAAAGCTGCTCTGTTGTTGTGAAACCCTAATGGTCTTCCTATCACTCAAACAGCCAGAATATGTGAAGTTATCCATTATGACAATGTTATTAATCCACTGTAACAATAAACCATGACTATCTCTAGTGCATTCTGCATGTTGAAATTCATATAATTATATTAGTTAATAATGGGGGATTTCTATTTGCTCTCCTTTGTTGTTTTGGGTATTTTTTCCAAACAGCTTTTCATGAAACTTTCAAGTGTCTCCTACCCATGATTCCTTGTAGGTGCTAGGTTGTCACACCTTCTATGTGTGAGGAATCCCTTCTTCCTTCTCCTTTTTTTTTATTAATGACTGTAATTACTATTTGAAAATTCTATTCACCTTCTTTTGAGAAAGCACATAAAAATAGAAAATCTCTTCAAAATTAAGCAGTCCATAATGATGAAACAGAACAAGACAGTGTTTATCTATTGACACTAGCATGATACATTCAGCTAAATTGAAATTTGGATTATATATCTTTCTGCGTGTATTTAGGAAAAACATTTACCCAACCACAACCTTTGCTTCAGTTTCTTGAAGGATAGATTTGCTTTATTCTCACCTCTGTGACTACATAAACTATCCAGCCTGGCCTGTAACAAAGGAAAAAGTTCCTTTGTAGTGGTGCTATGAAAAAGAATTTGAAAGAACTGGCCACACTCACTCACTCACTCATGGCTAGGCTTCGCAAACGAAGATTTGGGAAGGGCTCTACCCATTTTTCATGCAAGCGCGTTGGTGGCTAAAAAGGCCAATACGAGAAAGGCAAGTCCGGTTGCAAAAGACACAGCAGAAAAACTCCTTAGATGGTATATTCTGCAAGGTTCTATTCTTTCTGCGTTGTCTTTTCTCCTCAAGAGTGATCCTGCGTGCTTTCTCAAAAGCATCAGCAGCGTTATAAATGGTCTGTCTCCAGGCCTCCCGATTAGAGGCCAGAGTGGACCAGTTATGGTGATCAATATGCCCGAGGCTGAGTTGTTGCTTCAGGGAGTCCTTGTATCTTTTCTTTGGAGCTCCTCTCTTGCGGCAGCCAGTGGCAAGTTCACCATAGAGCAGGATCTTAGGGAGGCGGTGGTCCTTCATCCTAGAGACGTGCCCTGCCCAACGCAGTTGCGTTCTCAGTAACATGGCCTCAATACTCGTAATTGCTGCCTGTTCGAGAACAGATGTATTGGTCACATAGTCCGACCAATGGATGTTAAGGATTGTACGGAGGCAGCGTTGATGGAAGCGTTCTAGGAGACGCAGGTGGTGGCGGTAGATGACCCATGATTCGGAACCATATAAAAGAGTAGACAGCACTATGGCTCTGTAAACACTGATCTTGGTGCTTTTCTTCAAGTGTTTATTACGCCATACTCGTTTATGGAGTTTTCCAAAAGCACTGTATGCCTTCGCTAACCTATTGTCTATCTCCCCATCAATCTTACCATCTGAGGAGATGAGGCTGCCTAGGTAATTAAACTGTTGGACTGAATTGAGTTCTGACTGGCCGATGGTGATGTGGGGATGGTGGGGGACTTCCTGAGGTGTAGGTTGATGGAGAACTTCTGTCTTCTTTAAGCTGACTTCCAGCCCAAAGAGCTCAGCAGCATCTGCAAAGCAGGATGTTAAACGCTGCAGAGCTGCTTCTGTGTGGGCAACAAGGGCGGCGTCATCAGCATAGAGCAGCTCCCGGACAAGATGGTTTAGGGTCTTAGTATGGGCCTTCAGTCGCCTTAGGTTGAATAGGCTTCCATCAGTACGATATCGAATGTAGATACCATCCTGATCATTGAGGTCTGCTGAGGCCCTTTGGAGCATCATACTGAAAAAGACTGTGAATAGGGTAGGAGCGAGAACGCAGCCTTGTTTCACACCATTCTTTATTAGAAAGGGCTCAGAAAGCGTGTTGCCATATCTGACTTGGCCGTGCTGATCCTCATGAAGTGAGATGATCATTTTAAGGAACTTGGGGGGACAACCTAAACGTTCCAAAATCTGCCAAAGACCTTTTCTGCTCACAGTATCGAAAGCCTTGGTGAGGTCGACAAAGGTTACATAGAGACCTTTGTTCTGTTCCCTACACTTCTCTTGCAGTTGTCTGAGAACAAATATCATGTCTGTGGTGCTCCTGTTGGCTCTGAAGCCACACTGACTTTCAGGTAGAATTTCTTCTGCTATAGTGGGTATTAGTCTGTTCAGGAGTATTCTTGCCAAGATTTTGCCAGCAATGGAGAGCAGAGTAATACCACGGTAATTTGAGCAGTCTGATTTAGTACCTTTCTTCTTATACAAGGTGATGATGACTGCATCACGAAGGTCTGATGGTAGTTCGCCTAGTTCCCAACAGCGCACCACAAGCTCATGAAATTTAGCATGGAGTGCAAGGCCCCCATGTTTCCAGACTTCAGGTGGGATTCCATCAACCTCAGCTGCCTTGCCGATTTTCACCTGCTGTATGGCCTTGAGGGTTTCTCCTAGAGTGGGGGCAGTATCCAATTCGTATTTCACCGGTTGTTGTGTGATGGACTGAATTGCTGAGTCTTGTACTACACGGTTGGTACTGAAAAGAGTCTGAAAGTGTTCAGACCATCTATTCAGAATGGAGGTTTGATCTGTCAGAAGCGTTTGACCATCTGCACTGAGTAGTGGGCTTTGGACTTGGTATGTAGGCCCGTATGCTGTTTTCAGGGCCTCATAGAATCCTTTGTGATCCCCTGTATCTGCACAGAGTTGAGTTTTTGCGGCTAGATCGGTCCACCATTTGTTCTGGATGTCACGGAGTTTCTGTTGGAGCTTGCTGCAAGCAAGACGAAAGGCTGTTTTTCTAGCGTGACAGGATGGCAGTGCAAGGTGTGCTTGGTGGGCGGTTCTCTTCTTCCTCAACAATTCCTGGATTTCTTGATTATTTTCATCAAACCAGTCCTTGTTCTTCTTGAGGGAGAACCCTAAGGATTCTTCAGAGGATTGCAGGATGCTACTTTTAATATGCTGCCAAATTGTTTCGGGAGAGGAAACTGCAGAATCTGTGGAATGGTTATCAAGCTTAGTTTGAAGGTTTGCCTGGAATCTTTCTCTTACTGTGGCTGATTGGAGATCGTTAACTTGGAGTCTTCTCCTTGGGATACTGCCCCTCTTGGGTTTGAATTTGAGATAAAGGTTGAGTTTACAGCGCACAAGCCGATGGTCTGTTTGACATTCTGCGCTGGGCATCACGCGGGTATGGAGGACATCGCGGACATCTCTCCGTCGCACCAAGACATAATCAATGAGGTGACTGGCCACACAATTGCTATGAATTTTCCTCCATCAGTTGTAGGTAGTGCTCTCAGATTTCCATCTGAGATTTCCTAAGGAAAAAACTAGGTCCCAGGACCCCTATTTTTTCTGTTTTACCTACAACACATGCAACCTAACATGGCTTATGCTATGGAAACAAAATGTTGATTCTCATTAAGAACAAGGCATGTCAAACATTGGACCTATGGTGCAGATGATCAATTTGCTAAGATGATTTGGGTGCAGGGTTTAGCATAATACAAACATGCAAACATTTGTCATCTGGGAAACATAGCAGAGTTTCCTGTCTCCAAAGTCAGACAGGAAAGAAGGTATTTTTTATGACACGTTATCAACCGGACTTATCACTTTGTGAAGACATGGGTAAAGATTCACACTGGTGTCAATTACAGATTGACCTGTGCATTGCCTTCCACAAAAGGAACATGAGCACAATTTCACTACCTAAGTCAGTAGTGGTAACTAAAAACAGATGCTTATGTTCCTTCTAATGTGATAATATCAATATCCAATATCCATATGTAAATACACCTGTCTGGGTTATTCTTGCCAGCAAAAGCTTTTTATTCTTTCTGTTGTTGGTTGGTTTTCTTCCCTGAGAAATATATTCAATTTTCAAAAAAAAAAAATTATACAGAGTAATGTTTCCTACAATCCCCCCAAAGAATTTCCATAAGGACCCCAAAAGTTTAGAAGAAAATTACCTGAGTAACCTTCACTATTTTGCCAAATATCTTTACTAGTTAGTGCTAGGCACTCCAGTAAGAGCATAGTACAGTATTGATTATTAGAATTCCATAAGTAGGGAAAATCTTGCTGCATTATACTCTTCACCGTAAATTTCAGGAATATTTATACTTCTTTTCCTATACTCTATCCAAAAGAGCTGATTATGACTATACAGCAGTAAAGACCTAGGAATAAAAATGTTTTAACAGCAGTTTATACTCCTATTTAACAAATAAATAATATCTTCAACTACATCATGTGTTAATTATGACACAGCTGCTTCTTTTTATAAGGGTTTGAGAGATAATACAGTAAGAATGCATCCTGTCAGGATGCTTTATCCTCACTTCTTGGGTTTGGAGGAGGATGGAAGCAGGGGGTTGCTTTGTGAAACATGCCATCTCCCTGAATTTAAGAAGAGTTTTACATCTCTTCCACACATATAATCCTTTTGATGAACCCTCTAGAAATAAGATCCCAAAAGATGGAAGAGGAGAAAGTGAGTACCTTTTCTGCACAGTGCAGACATTTTTGGTAGGGAACGGCCTCTGTCACTCACTCATCCTCTGTGTTGTGTGATCTACAGGCAGAGATTCATGTGTGAAACAAGGTAAAGTGCAGAGAAAACCAATATCTCTCAACTGTGTCATAACTAAGATTACTTATTTCTCTGGGGTAAAAAATGCATACATATATATGTATATACACACATAAATTTAGCTGGAGTTGGAATAAAAGTGCATAGGAATGGAGAAGAATATTTTATTATTTTCTTCTACTAGAAAGCCATTCCTTTCATTCTTTAGCACTTGCGTACAATTGGACATGCCCTTTATCTCCTGAAGCACCTTTTTACTACAGAGAGATTTGAATTTGTTCTGGTGTTCAAATTCACTTAACTATTTGATTATTCATTGTTTTAGATCATATATATCCTTGATTTTCAGGCAAATCATGATCAAGTGCAGGACCTCTGTCTATTCACCAGCTTACTTGTGTCTGTTAAGTTGTGACGGCTTGTAGCTGCATACCCACAAAGCCATGGCATGTCATTTTATTTCTGTGTTTTCACTTGCTCAGCATATCCTCTCCCGATACCTAAATTTAGATTCAGTAACAATTCATTCCACAAGTTGTAATGCTGACAGGGTAGATGGTTCTGTGGTGATATTGTCTCTGATGTGCTGAACACTGCACAAGACAGAGAAGAAGCCTTTAATGTATTAAACTTAACAAGATGACAATTAATGGAGAACATGGCTTTCTGGATGTGTTTCAAGCTTACATTTAAAATATGAGCGTAAACTCTTTTGCAATCTGAACTGTTCTCTATATAAGTTTCCTAATTGGGATTGAGAGCTTCTGATGATACCAACCTGATATCAAGCCACTCACACTGGGTTTGATTTAGTAAAGGGATGAGCACTCTGGACCAAATTCTGAAAGCACTTTTTATGCACATGCCTTACTTTAAGCCACATGAATAGTTCCTTTTAAGACAAAAATCTTTCTTGTGCTCTCAGGTTGAACATGTACTCTGCTGCTTTGCAGGAGAGTGCATTGCTCTCAGTAGCTTTTCACCCACAACAATTTAATTA